CTATCTATCTATCTATCTATCTATCTATCTATCTATCTATCTATCTATCTATCTATCTATCTATCTATGTGCATGTATACTGTATATGTATAATTGTTTATGTATATGTATATATATATATTCGCTGCTTTCTTTTGAATTCCGAATTCTTGTATTCCTTGCTTCAGAAGTGGAGAAGAGAGTAAATATTGTTTTTAGTTGCTTTAAAATTGTGATCATTATAATGCTGTTATGGAGAGCGGGGGAAACCAAATCCTTGTGCTGGAATTTTATAGAAATATTTTAAACAGATACATGAGTGTCTCGGGAAGGGACCAGTCTGTTCTCCTCCCACACCCTTCCCCTTTGCCCAAACCCCTTTCAGCATGGCTCTCCTCTTGGTCTTCTTTCCTCAACAGTACCGAGTTGGGCAGCTTTACACCATCAGTAAGCACAGCCATCAGGAGAGCGACAGAGGAGAAGGGGTGGAAGTGGTGAAAAACGAACCTCACGAAGACCCCGTCCATGGGCCGGGCCAGTTCACAGAGAAGAGGGTTCACCTGTCCAGGTAAGGAAGCGCCAGCGACATTTCGAGGGCTGGTTCCCTGTTTCTCTTCTTCTCTCTTGTGGGCAACTTCGCTAAAGGGGCATCTTGCAATCACCCTGCAAGGCAGGTCAGGAGTTTCTTAATGTATCCCTCGGAGGGGAAGAAGGTGTACTAAGTGTATTCTGTTTACGGAGTAACACAACACATTGTAGGGTGTAGGGAAAGCAGTGAGTTAAGGAGGAGTGACTGTACGACATTAATGGGCAAGATTTTTCCCTACCTTCACATTCGATCTGTTTCCTTTCCATTATATTTGATCCTTTCTTTCCTTATTCCTCTTCCCCTTTTCATTCCTCCTTCTCTTTCCTTTTTCTCTTTCCCTTCTCCCTTTCCTTTCCCCTTTCTCTTCCCTTTCTCTTTTTCTCCTTCCTTTTTTCTTCTCCCTTTCACTCCCTTCCTCCTTTTCATCTTCCTCCTTCCCTTCTTCCTTTTTCTTCCCTTTCCCTTCCCTTTCTCTTTCCTTCTTCCTCTCCTCTTTCCTCCTTCCTTTTCCCTTTCACTCCCTTCCTCCTATCCCTCCTCCTCCTTCTCTTCCCTTTCCCCTTTTTCCTCTTCCCTTCTTCCTCTCCCTCCCTCCCTCCTTCCCTTTTTCTATTTCTTTTCCGGTAGCCAATTGCTTCCTGCCTTTATTTCAACTCCACCAAGCCTCCTTCAAGTTAACACTCTTGTATTTCACCCTTAACAATGGTGGAATTGACCTTAGGAAAGGCCACTATCATTTGCAAAAGAAAATAATAGTAGTAGTTGTGAGAAAGCGACAATAAGCAGCCCTGGGATTGCAGGTTGCTTAGTGCCCGCACCTTAATTCATGCTATGTAGACTTTCTCCCAAGACTTAATCCTTGCTACTAAGCATCATTCTCCTTCTCCACCTCCACCGTGCTGTTTTGCTTTCCTCCAATATCCATTTGTTCTCTGCTTTCCAATTATCCTGTCACAAAATCTGACAATTGCTCCAGGCTGGGTTGTGCAGGAACCCAGCCTAATAAAATATTCCACCAACCATCCATTTCTCCTTCCCTTTCTACCAGCTCTCTGCCTTGCGGCTCTCATGCATCAGCAACTTCCGGTCCAAATATCCCCATTTTGCAGAGTGGGCAAATTGTTTCGGGAGATGCTTGGAGGGTCAGGTAGGGGAGGTCCTTGGTGCCAGAGATCTTGGACCTGTAGCTCTGCTAGGTGGGATTCATGAAAATCATCATCCAGACCTTCTCTCCCCTTTTCATGTGGGGCAGACAACTTAATAAATAGGATAAATTAGCAGTAACAGAATCATTTACATTGCAGGTCATCTAAGGTTTGGAGATAATCGGTTGTACCCTGGTATGTTGTCCAATTACCACAATTGGACAATGTGACCGGTGATACTTGGGGAGGGGATCTTTTACTATTTTAATTATACCGAAACTGTAGGGAATAGTTAGAGTTGGTTTTACACTTGATGGTGTCTATATGATGTACCCAATAAAGTTCTTTGTGGAGGATTCTGGTCTCAAGAGTTCGGATTTGCTTGGGTTCATTATTCGGAATCATGACAAGTTGTTTTTGTGGGTGTTAGACAACTTAAACCCCTAAGTAGAAATGATCCTTGGCTCCATTTGTTGGGAATGGTATAGTTTTATTATGAGTGAAGTGTATTGCAGCAATGAAAAGCCAGAACTGAGAATTGCATGCCCAAATTGCTATGTTCTATTTTCCCCTCTTTAACTGCCCCTGACTGACCACTGCCCCTTTGTAACCAATCAAGTTCATGCAAGATGTTTTCACGCGGTCAGTCTGCATGCAAGTTGGTTTGCATCTTTCTCCTTCTCCCAGCTGGGTGACCTTGAGGCAGCATCTCAAGGAGATACAGCACATACTTTCATTTTCCCAAGCATTCCCTCCTCCTCCATTTCCCCTTCCCACCGTTCATGGAACTCTGTCACCACATAGCAGTGACGTACAAGCAAACATAAGATGGCAGCTGACGGAAAGCAGAGAGCACTATCAAGGAAACAGTTTTCACCCAAGAGTTAGGGCTAAGATACAGAATCTTGGAAGGAGGAAAGACATGATGCAATGTACCTACAAAGGGGAAGGTGGTTTGATGGTTTGATGGACTACAGGGTAGGAGTAGTTTCCCAACATGGAGGGAACGCTTTCCAAGGAGGGAGGGGGGGAAGCACATTCCAAAGCTGGACCAGAGAAAGAAGAGGGAGTCAAGCTATTCTCCAAAACACCTGGAGGGCAGGTCAAGAAACAATGGATGGAACCTAATTAAGGAGACAAGCAACCTGGAATTAAGGAGAAACTTCCTAACAGTGAGGACCATAGGTGTTAAACTCACCATGTCCCCTTGCTGTCATGTGACAACATTTCCCTCATTTGTGGAGCTGGGGTGGCCGTGACCCGGGTGTGATGCATTCAGCCTGTGGGTTGCCAGTTTGACACCCTTGGTGAGGACAATTAACTGGCGCAATAGCTTACCTTCAGAAGTTGTAGGTGCTTTATCACTGGAGGCTTTTAAGAAGAGACTGGACAATCACTTGTCTAAGATGGTATAGGTTCTCCTGCTTGAGCAGGAGATTGGACTAGAAGATCTCCAAGGTCCCTTCCAGCTCTATTCTGATTCAAGAAGATATTTAGGACAGTCACTCCCTAGAATCTCCTAGAATATATCTACAGTACTAGGGTGAGAGTACTATGGACTTAATCTTGCAAGATTCTGTCTATTGTGTGTAAGCAAATAGAGAATCGAACTTTGACTGGATTGTTCTATGTCAGGGGTGTCAAACCCGTGTCATCACGGCATCATCATGTGACGTATTGTGACCTTTATCCCCTCGCTAAACCGGGCCTGGGCATGGCCAGCGAGTGACGCATCAGACCATGGGCTGTGAGTTTGACACCCCTGTCTATGTCATTCTTGGGATGAGCCTGACAACATCAGAACTTCTAGCCCCTTTTATTAGTAAGATTAAGGCAAAATATTTCACGATGCTTAGAATTTCTTCTTGCTGGGAATTTCCACACTTGGACTGAGCTGTCTATGAAATAAACTACTAACAATCTCCTGTCCTATAACATCTATTGGTTGGCTATGTCTAAAATTCCTCCTGTTATTTTTCTAGCCACACCACGTGATGGGTACTCTGGGGCTGTTTTTCTCTGCCCCTACCAGAGATGAAAGGGTCTGGACTCTGGATCCTGTTGACAGCCCCACATTTGAGGCTGCCCAAGTCTTTTGATAACAGAGGGAAACTTCATTTATAATCCAGCTCTTTCCTTACCTTTGATGTCAATCCATTCTGCTCTTTGCATTTCGGGGAACAGAGCACAGTGGTTTGGCCAAATGCCATCATTTCAGATCTATTATCTCCTGCTGGTATTTCCTTTTGATTTGCCCAGTGGGCATGGATGTGATATCATATCTAGCCACAGGAGAAGAACAGCAAGTTGCTGTTCTAAGAATGGTGGACGTGGGTTTGTTTTGGCTTGAGCAATACCCAAAAGACCTGCGCTAAATCAAGAATAAACCTGAAATCATATCCAGGGTAAACCAAGGACTGAATGTTTTATGCTGACTAACTAGAACAGGAGTCAGCAACTTGTGGTTCTGGAGCCGCATGTGGTTATTTCATCCCTCTGCTGTGGCTCCCTGTCACCAGTTGGCGCCACAATTTGGAGAGGAGCTTCCAGTTTTTTTGGGGGCGGGCATGGCATGCCAGGAGGAGATGTTATGGCAAGGGGCAGGTTTTTCAGTTAGCTCCACAATTGATAGGGCTTTCAGTTAGGACAGGTAGACGAAAAAGGAAACCGCACTAGGAGGAGACTCTATGGTAGGGAAACCGGACTTCCGGTTAGCAGAGGAAAAAAAGATGCCACACTAAGAGGAGACTCTATTAAGGAGCCGAGGTGGTGCAGTGGTTAAATGCAGCACTGCAGTCTACTTCAGCTGACTGCATTTCTGCAGTTCAGCTGTTCAAATCTCACCAGCTCAGGGTTTACTCAGCCTTGCATCCTTCCGAGGGGGGTAAAATGAGGACCCGGATTGTTGTTGGGGGCAATATGCTAACTCTGTAAACCGCTTAGAGAGGGCTGAAAGCCCTATGAAGCAGTATATAAGTCTAACTGCTATTGCTATTGCTAACCGGATTTCTCGTTAGCAGAGGAAAAAAAGGTGCCACACTAGGAGGAGACTCTATGATAGGGAAACCGGACTTCTGGTTAGCAGAGGAAAAAAAGGTGCCACACTAGTAGGAGACTCTATCGTAGGGGAACAGGACTTCCGGTTGGCTCCAGAATTGAATGGGGGGCTTCCAGTTAGGACCTTTGTGGCTTTTTGATTGTTTAAGGATGCTGACCCTGGATTTAGAAGGATGAAAAGTTATTCTACCATTCCCACCACCATGAAGGAACCCTTCATTTTGGAGATGGGAAGATGACATCCTGATAAGACACAGAACCACATTTACATACGCTGCCTTATCATCATCTTTTCAGGGACTCGTGTTAGTAACTGGGGAGGGGGGGAATCCCTGGTTTTGTCTTCAGCATCTTTTAGGAAAGTTCTCATGCTGGGAACCTAGAGAAGTTCCATCGCTATATAGAATGTGGACAAATAATCAGGCAAAATAAAAAGTGACTCAAGCAGGAGATCCTAGGCTATTCAGACAAATGGTTGTTCAATCTCTTCTTAAAATCTTTAAGTGTTGGAGCATTCACAACTTCTGGAGGGAAGTTGTTCCACTGATTAAATGTTCTAGCTGTCAGGAAATTTCTCCATAGTTCTAAGTTGCTTCTCTCCTTGATTAGTTTCCAACCATTGCTTCTTATCCTGCCCTCAGATGCTTTGGAGACTAGCTTGACTCCCTCTTCTTTGGGGCAGCCCCTGAGATATTGGAACACTGCTATCCTGTCTCCCCTAGTCCTTCTTTTCATTCAACTACACATAATCAGTTCCTGCAAGTGTTCTTCATATGT